CATGAAGAGATGGATATAATGTATTTCCTTTGTCCCTTTTAAATTTTTTATTCTGTTTTTTTACGATTTTTAATGCAATACTTTGACTATCAAAATATCTTTATTTATACATAGATATATATTATAAAATATGACATGACAAAATTACGTTTAAAAATAAACTTATTGATATTACATATATATCAGAATTCAACATTTTTTGTAATTTAATATTTAAGTTCAAACGGGAAAACTCAAAAGGAGTGAAGGGAGATATGGCATGATCTCTTCAATATATTTTTCTAATAATTACTATGTATTAATTTTTCTTATTTAAATCAGATCAAATTAGATAAGTTCTGATCAAATTAACAACAACATTCAATTATGCTATATTAATATCACATAAAACTTGATCAAAATTAGAAAAATTTATGTACTAAGACTAATGGGAAGACCTATATAGACCCATACGAGATGATTGTGAACTCTAAAAATTTTAATATTCGTCATTCTGATACGAATATCGTATCGGATAGGGAAGAACTTCAGGCGTTCTTCAAGTTTCAAGAATATGAGGTAGAGAAAGATGGAAAACTTCGAGCGTTTCCGGACTCCAAGAGAATAGAGGATGAGATTAGAGTTTTGATATTTCTTTTCTTGATTTCACAATAACGGGGGAGGATTACAATATATAGAGAGTAAAGCTACGCTAGTTGACCTAATGGGCTCGGGATCGTACTAAACCCTAATGTATAGAATATTAATAAATAATAATAAATAATACTAATTAATAAATAATATAACTAATCTATTATCATATCATTCCCACCCCCTTAAAAACCACCTTGTCCTCAAGGTGGAGGCTCCCATTCGTGCTTCTGGACCAGAGAGATAATGCAAAACCAAAGGAGTGGTCCACTCTTGGAGTCTTCAACCATCTTTGCTCGTGCAACAAGGTGATGGAAATATGAAGTAGGACACGTAACATATGTAGTTGCTCGCGATGAAACCAGGTGCTCTGTCGTGACCACATTGACAATGTCTAACAAATTAATGGTGTCATCAAATAAAATGAGGTTTCCCACTTGCTTATTATCTGCATCTGCCATCTTGACGATACTTGCTAGAACTGTGTACTCTGTGATTGCCACCCCAACTGAATCATTTAGTGGTACATATAATTCATGGAGTGTAGAATCTGTGTTTCCACTGTTGGTACCAACGTGGTGTGTTTTGTTTTTGGCGGTCAACTCTAGGATAGAATCTATTTGCAATTGTGTAATGTCCCCAAAAGTAAAATTGATGGGCTGGGTGGGCAACCGATGATGGAGAAGCAAAGCAATTGGATTCTGCAATTTTTTTTTCTTTTTCGGAAACAGCTACTGAGCAAAGTCAACAACGGCAAATCCGCTACGAATAGCGATGGAAAATAATTCTGGGACAACGTGGTTGGTTTGGGCCAAACCCTAGATGTCGTCGGAAAATTTGGTCGCACTAAATTGATCTGTACGACCGTCAAAAAGGGCTGCAATTCTTCTTCTCTCACTCTTTTTTTTGTGCCAAGTCAAATTCCTTTTGAGTTACAAATTTTCAGAGCACACATTATAGGTACTATACGCAAAGTGACAGACGCTCCACTTTCTCCACCAACGTTGCCCCCAAAATGTGACGGATCTGAACCCTTGCAGTGGTTAGGAAAGGTATGTGCGTATTTTGAGTTTTATGAGATCCCTTTAACTGATTGTTCGAACCGTGTGACCTAAATGTTAGAGGGCTCTGCCTTGGCTTGGTTTAATTGGCGTATGTGTGGCAGCTTGATTGATGGTTGGGAGGATTTTGTTAAAAAGTTCCAAATACGATTTGCTCTGCTACATGATTTGGATTATGTTTGTTTTGAGAAGACATCAGAGAAGTCTAGAGACAAATTTGCCCACATGGTGGAAAACGCCAACACACTCCCCGCCCCGACTGTGGAGGACACAAATGAACTAAAGGAATCAAGCGAGGAATCTTTCAACAAAGAGAACAATTATAGCGGGTCTGACGTCATTGACAATGATGGTGGTGTTATTGATGGAGATGATGGTGCTAATATTACGAGTGATAAGCTATCCTACAAGTCAGATTCTACACCTCGTGAATTACATGTGCAACTAAATGCCCTAATGGGGGTAGAAATTGCAAAGTATTACGTTCTAGAAAGTGTCGACAAGGTGGCTAGTGAAAATTGTAACCAAGCGGCCCAATTAATTTCTTTGGATACCATCAGGTTGTTTGATCTTGTCAAGTCTGAGCATCTGGTCTCGAAGAAAATGATTCGACGACAATGTGGTCTTCACTTTTATTTATGCCTATATACTTCACCTAAGAAGCTTCTTTAAGACTGGTCAACAAATGGATGTCTCTTCTGGTTCATCACGTTCTCACATATCCAAAAGCATGAGTGGGATCCTCCACCTTGAGGACAAGGTGGTTTTCTAAGGGAGTGGGAATGATACGGAAGAAGAAATACATTATTTAATTAGTTATTTATTAATATTATATAGTTATTATGTTTGGATTTAGTATGGGCCCGAGCCCATTAGGTCAATAGAGTGTTCCTCCATCTCCATATATTGTAACCCTTTTATCATTACAAATCAATCAATAAAGAAGAATTATCTTAATCTCTCGTCTCTCTTTTCTTGGAGTCTGGAACGCTCGAAGTTTTTCTTCTCTCTTTGCCTCCCCTTTTTTGGAGCCCGAAGACGCTCGAAGTTCTTCCATATCCGATACAATATTCGTATCACATTCCCATTGCACCGACCCAATCTTCCTAAATCATAATTACTGATGAGCATAAAGGCTAGGACTGAAAAAATTGATCAAAATAGATTGAGATTGAGACTAGAAAAGATGGGACCAAAGTGGTCCTTGAGACTGGTCCGGTCTTGGACCGGTGGTCTCATTTGATCCTTGATTTTTTGTGAAAGATTAGACCGGCCTTGGATCGGGTAGTCTTTTTTGAAAGATAAGGCTAGAACCAGGCTAGGACTAGAGATCTAATGCATTTGAAATATAATTTTTATACATATATATATATATATATATTTGTACTTTAAATTTAATTTACATAAATATGTTTATCCCATCAACGAAAACTATAGTTCTTACATACGGAGTAGTTTTTTTTAACTTTTAAGAATCACAAATACGGAGTAAGTGATAATAAAAAAATGTCGAGTGTATAAAAGATACAAATTAAAATTTATTGTTTTTATTGATTCTATCAAACTTTCATCTCACATAGTTGCATAGTTGTTATAAATCAGTAAAGTAAAGAAAAAATTAAATAGTCAAAAATAGGGTGTTTTAGTTTGGGAGAAAAACCAAAATAGCACTCTTAGAGCTTTAAAATACTCTAAATATCAGTGTTATATGTTTCGTACATGTGATTCTGATCTTGTCTTTTAATTGAACAACAAATATTAATTACACACTGCCAAAAATATGACTATTTTGGGCAGTTTGATTGTTCACTTATAACTGTGTAATGGGCAGTGTGGTTTTTTATATGTGAGTATTTAATGTGGCAATGTAGAATGAATATATGTTGTTATATCTTACGACAGTGTGTAAGTGTATTATTGTGTTTCTTAATTTCATGTTGGAGTGTAATATCCATTGATTTATGTGGCAATGTTTTCATGTATAAATTCTACACTATCAAAAAGTGTATGACTGTTTTCATGTATGAATTCCACATTGCCCAAAAAATGTATAGTTCTTTGTATGTATGAATTCCATACTGTTTTCATGTATGACTGCCAAAAATGTGTATGACTGATTTAATAAATAATCTATTACACCAAAACACACTGGCCAAACATAGGCGTTAAATATGGAACTTAAATTAATATGTACGAACTTGTTTAGACATTATACTTTGATAAATTGCGTAGGAGGACGATCTCGCAGAGCTATAGTAAATGGCATAGGATGATGTTCTCGCAAGTATGAGACGCATGAATGAGGAGGAGCCGCACGCATGAGGAGGAGTGGCTACGTGAATAACCTAAGTTGAATCAAATAATTAAAAGTAATTAAAAATAGTAAAATATAATAAAAGGTAGATGGTATGCTTGGAAGATATTGACACAATAAATAGCTAAATTCATATAAAAGATTAAGGAGTGCTATATGTGTAATATCAAGTGACTTAGAGTGCTACATATGGTGATTTTTTTTAGTTTTTTTACGATTATTTTTTTGGAGAACGAATAATTAAGAATTTGGATCGGGGACCGGATTTGAAAGGGTCCTAATGTGTCTACCCGGTCCCTAAATGTCCCTAGAAGATCTGCTTAGTGTGGACTAGGGGTGAGCAAGTACCAAACCGATCCCGAAATTTTCTGAAAAAATCGAGAATACCGAACCGAAAATGTACCGAAAAGGAACCGAACCGTATCGAACCGAATGGTCGGTACGGTATTCTGGAATGGTACGAGGTGATGTCCCATCCTGAAAATCCCGAATCGAACATATATACTAAAATATTATAAAAAGAATGCTCCGGAGTAATATTTTTATATTCCTTCACTAAATAATAATTGTTTTTAAAAAAATTGGTTCAAATTTTATTATGTGTAAATTAGACTCTTATTTGAGTTTAGTTTTAGTATATGAACATAAAAGTATTCACAAAGATTCAAAATACTTCTTTGTTATCGTTCATTTTTTTAGTTTGCGAAATATAAACTAAGTTTTGATACGCATCTCTTGCATTTAAATACATTTTTTTAAATTTTTTTATGTTTTTTTATTAAAATTCACTTTCAATTTTTAAAAATAAAGGGGCATTGTTAAGATTTAAGGTGTAAAGTAGGTATGTATATTCATTCCGATTTGTACCGAAACCGATACCGAACCATCCCGAACCATACCAAATCGATAACTCGGGATCGGGATCGGTACATAGTAAAATCTCATACCGAAGGAAAATATTTGTTACACTATAGGTACGAGCTAGATAAGGTCGCATACTATGTAGCATCCTGTGTACCATGCTCTTAAAAAAACAGATCCCGTACCTGTCCGCTGTCCCTTTGATCATCTCTAATCATATTCGATCGTCAATTCCTCATCGAGTCTGCGAGCTGAGGGAGTTTGGAGTCTGCATTACCACCTTTGATTCCTTCCAGCCTCCAGGTTTGTGCGACTTCCGTTCACTTTTTTTTAAAAAAATTGCCGATTCATTACGTGATGCACAAAAGCAAAGAATTCTAGGAAATGATCAACTTTCGAAGAACTAGAATGAGGTTTCAGGGATTGAATTTGAGAGAGTAGCAGAAGAAAGAAAGTTTGGGGAAGAGGAAGTTTGATTATCATTCATGTCTGGAATTACAATCTGCATCTCATCTATATATGAGCGGTTTACAAGAATGAAAAAAAAAACAGAATCAGTTAGGATTACAAGCTTATCCGCAACTAATTCTTTACAGACTTTCAGCTCATATCTTCTTCTTGTATCAATACCCCCTTTTGAAAGACTAGACTTGTCCTCAAGTCTGGAATGAAGGGAACCTGTACCACTGCTTTTTCCCCCTTTTTGGCGAACCTCCTTTTCAAAATACGAAGTGGAGTAGGGCAGTATGGGCTGGAAAACTGTACGATAGGATGTTTATTTGAGAAGCTTTGGTGCAAAGAATGATAAAAAATTGACAAAGCTTGAAGAAGAAGACGTTCATGGCAGCAAGAATGTAAAACAGAATCAGTGGAAAAATTTGAAGTTGATATTTCATCTCAACGTCTCAGTATAAAAAGTAAGGAACAAGCATATATATAGGAAAAAAGTGCTGAGCTAGACAAATTGAAATACTAAGCTATAGTATGCCTAACACCCNACCCCCCCCCCCCCCTCAAGTTAGAGGGTGGATGAACCCCCAACTTGGAAAGCAAATTGTGATGTGCCGGTCTGGGAAGACTTTTCATAAACTTATCTGCCAACTGAAGATTGCTAGGAATATAAGTAAGGGTGATGAGCCCATCTTGTAACTTGTCACGAACATATCTTCCGTTCACTTTTTTTCAATTGCCGATTCATTTAGTGATGCACAAAAGCAAAGAATTCTAGGAAATGATCAGCTCTTGAAGAACTAGAATGAGGTTTCAGGGATTGAATTTGAGAGAGTAGCAAAAGAAAGAAAGTTTGGGGAAGAGGTAGTTTAATTATCATTCATTCCTGGAATTACAATGTGAATCTCATCTATATATGAGCAGTTTACAAGAATGAAATAACAGAATCTGTTAGGATTACAAGCTTATACGCAACTAGTTCTTAACATATTTTCAGCTCATCTCTTCTTGTATCTATACCCCCTTTTGAAAGACAAGACTTTTCCTCAAGTCTAGAACGAAGGGAACCTGTGCGGCAATGTTGTCTTGTACTACCATGTAGTGTTTTCACTGCCCATATCAGATCATTCAACTCTAACCTGTACCACTGCTTTGTTCCCCTTTTTGACCAACCTCCTTTTCAAAATACGAAGTGGAGTAGGGCAGTGTGGGCTAGACAACTGTACGATAGGAGGATGGTTTATTGTTGGTGCACTTCATTGCATTTCTTAAGTTGAGAAACATGAAATGTATCATGTGTAGCAGCTTTATTAGGGAGCAACAAATTGTAGGCAACTGCACCAATCTTAGCAACAATGAGATAAGGTCCATAGTATTTGGCAACCAACTTTTAGAAGGGTCTATTAGCCATTGACATCTGCCTATAGGGTTGTAGCTTTAATTAGACCCAATCTCCAACTTCAGTTCCTGTTTGTCCTGTGTTTATTAGCCATGTTTTTCATTCTCTTTTGTGCTCTGTGTATATGATACTTGAGAAAAAATAATTATATCTTCTCTAGCTTGGAGTGACCTATCCACCATATGATATCTTGATTCCCCTGCCAAATAAGGAAAATGGATGGGAGGTTTTTGGCCATATAAGACTTCATATGGTGTGCACTTGATAGTGGTATTGTACCACCATTTAGCCAGACGTAAGTAGGAAACCCATGTGTTAGGACTCTCTGAACAAAGGCATCTAAGATAAGTTTCTAGAGTTCTATTTAGAACCTCAGTTTGACCATGACCATCTGAGGATGGTATGCAGTGGATCTTTGTAGCTGTACTCCCATTAATGTGAATAGCTCCTGCCAAAACTCACTTAAAAATATAGGATCCCTATCACTAGTGAGTGTGAGAGGCAATCCACGTAATTTGTAAACATTATCCAGAAATGATTGGGCGATAATCTCAGCTGTGTATGGATGTTGTAGACTAATGCAATGACCATGTTTGCTTAGTCTGTCCACTATCACCAAAATTACCTCCTTTCCTTGCTTATTAGGTAATCCTTCAATAAAATCCATACAAACATCTGTCCACACACCCTCGGGGATAGGTAGTGGTGGTAGTTGGCCTCGATAGGTTGTAGCATCATACTTATGCCTTTGACTGACATCACATTTGTTGATGAATGACCTGACATATGGAATGAGATTTCCAATAGAAGAGGGTATGTAGCTTCTTAATTGTGGCTTCCATGCCAGAATGACCCCCTTGTGTGGTATTATGCCACAATTTTATTATTGTATTCCTCAGTTGCTGATTATCTCCCATTACCATTATGCCCTTCCACCTTAGTTGGTTGTTGCTCCAAGTAAAAAATTTGTAGGGTTGAAGCTGTAATTTAGGGAGAAGACCTTGTAGAGTATTATCCTTTTGCCAAGATACCTTGATGTCATCAAACAAGGCCGAATCTTGAGTTATAAGGGATATAGCCTATAGTTCAGCTTCTGACTTCCTAGATAGAGCATCTGCAACTTTGTTGTCAGTTCCCTTTTTAAATTCAATGGTGAAATCACATGCCATTAACTTTGTGATTCCAGCCACTTGGAATTCTGTGTGAATGTTATGATCCAATAGATACTTCAAGGCTATTTTCTATTGGTTCTAACTACATATGGTCTCCCCATCAGATAGGCCTGATAGGGAGACCACTTACTAACATCAAAGATAAGGGCTAGCATTTCTCGACATGGCTTGATATTTAGGTGATAGAGACTTACTGATATAAGCAATAAGATGCCTTTCATGCATTAATACTGCTCATATGCATCTTCCACGGGCATCAATTTCAATGACAAATGTCTTACTATAATCTTGCATAGTTCAGACAAGAGTGCTTGCTAAGGTCTGTTTGAGATTGTTGAAGGCTACAGTTGCCTCCTCTGACAAATGGAATGAATCCTTTTTTAATAACTCATGGAGAGGCCTCCAAAGCTAATGATAAATCTTCTATAATAGCCAGTCAGCCCCAAAAACCCTCTTAACTGTTTAATGTTGCTAGGGAGAGGCCACTGTTGAATTGCCGTTAACTTCTTTAGGCCGGTAGATACTCTTGCTGCACTGAGATGTAATGACCCAGACACTCCACCCTTGATACCCCAAAAGCACATCTAGACATCTTTGCATACAACTGTGAATCCTTCAAAAGACTGTACTAACATGCTCTACATGATCTTCTAGAGTCTTGTTGTAGTATAAGATGTCATCAAAAAATATTAATGCACTTCCTCATTAAGGCCCTTTTTTTTAGGTTGAAAAAATGAACTTCCAACTTTTTCCAACTCCTAGTTCCTTCCAACTCCTTCTAGTTTCTTCCAACAATGACTTAAAAACGGTATTTATATATGATGAACGTACAATAACATTATATATCCAAATTTATAACATACCACCTCAAACACGGAGAAGGATGATTTTTTCTTAAATCCAAAATTAGAGTTTTCTTGCATACTTGTTTGGGTGATCATTTAATTGAGTGACTTTTTAACACTCTAATTCTTCCATTATTTTCCAACTCCTTCCAGTTTCTTCCAATATCCAACTCTGAAATTCTAACCCAAAAGAACATGGCCTACGTGTCTGAATACAGAATTCGTAAGGGCTTGGAAAGATGATGGAGCATTAGTTAGCCCAAAGGGCAGTACCAAGAACTCAGTGTCCTTCGTGAGCTCTAAAAACTATCTTATGAATATTTGTTTCATGCATTCTTAGTTGATGATAATCAGTGATAAGATCTATATTAGAGAATACTACTACACCCCCAATTCATCCAATAGGTCTTCTATAATTGGTATTGGAAACTTATCTTTGATAGTTTGCTCGTTAAGTTCTCTGTAATCAACGCATTGTCTCCAACTCCTATCCTTCTTCCCAACTAGAACTACTGGAGAATGCATAAGGGCTATGGCTATGTTGTATAACTCCTTGATCCAGCATCTCTTGAACTAATTTCTCAATAATGTCCTTCTTGATGCCTGGATACCTGTAGGGCCTTTTATTTACTGGATTGGCAGATTCCATTAGAGGTGTCTTAAGATTAATAACTATTCTAGATGGTGGTAGGCTTTTTGGAAATTCAAAAATGCTATCAAATTGCTCAATCAACTTGTTAATGTCATTTTTAATTGTACCTTCTTGTATGAAAACATGATAGTTCTGCATCTTCCTTGGTAGTTAGAGTCATCATAAAGAGTTGAGCTCTGTTACTGCAGCCCTTTCCCATAGTTTTCATTCATGTTGTCTTCAATTCACTACTGGCCCCTCTTAAGACATGCTTCTTTCCTTCAAAGTTGAACTCAATTATTCTGTTTTTGAAATGAAACAAGATTCTTCCCAATGTGTGCAACCACTGAACTCCTAGAATAATGTCCACGCTTCCCAATGGTAATAGTAAAAAATCAGATACAAATACAGTACCTTGCAGTAACCGTTGTTCAAGGATTTTACTGGTATTGCACTTCAACTTTTCTGCCATATCTATATCCATGAAGTTGTGACTGCTACCAGTATCTATTAAGATCTGTAAAGGCTGCTTCTCATGGTACCGAGTGACCTTAATTGTTTAATAACAAAGCCTCCCATCAATGCTTGCAAGTAGATAGTCATGAGTTCTTCTAGATCCACTTAACCATCTGTCTCACAGTTGATGCCTTCATTATCCAATTCAGTTTCTTCCTCCAAAACATCAACTAGAAATATTTGTTTCTTATTAGCACATTTGTGTCCCAACACATACTTTTCATCAAAGAAGAAACAAAGGCCCTTTGGCCTTTTTCTTTCATGAGTCTTTTGCCCATGGGAGTTTTATTTATTTCATCATTTTTAGCAGCCTGGTTTGGAAGTGTCTTGAACTGTTGCTGAATTCTGATATTTTGGAGTGGGTGGAATACCACTCTGTTGCTTTCCCCCACTCCTTAGACCCCAAGATTTGGCTTGAGCATTGAAAACCTCCTCCTGCAGTTTTGCAGCTTTGTAGGCTTGCATCAATGTTTTTGGTGAATGCATCCTTACTGCCTTATTGAGTTCTGGCTTTAGTCCCCCAATAAAACAGCTAATGGCATTCTCAGTTAGAAAAATTGACAGTGGTCATCTATCAAAAGCTGCATGATATTCTTTAACACTTCCTGTTTGTGGCAGATTTTATGTTCCTCCATAGGGTCTTCAAAGTTCTCACCAAACCTTTCATGTAAGGCCAGGGCATATTCTATTTTAGTCCAGCTTTAGTTATTGAGATTAATATCTCCCATATAGGATCTCTGCCAAGCAAGGGCTTCTCCTTCGAGGTGAATGGCAGCAATATTCACCTACTAGTGAGAAGGAACTTCATCCATAGCAAATATTTGTTTCGCTTTATCGAGCCATGCTCTAATCTCTTGACCCAAAAGTTTTGGAAAATCCAACCTAGAGAAGCGTGCGAGTGAATTACCAGATGTTGAACCATGATATGATCTATCATGTCTTCTGTTCATATGAGACGATTCTTCATCTCTATCTTTGTCTTTTCACTCCATTTTCTTCGGGATTTCTTTGTGTTTTCCCGGTTCTTGATCAATTTGTGAGCTTCGATCGTTGATAGGGTTCAGTCCCTCCATTAATTTTTGCAATTGGAGCTAATTTTTGAAATTGTCTTCAGATTCAACATTCGCCGCTTCTGAAGCTCTGGTTCTCGTCATCTTGTAAGTCCAAGAATCGAATAGCTTTGATACCAAATGATGCATAAAAGCAAAGAATTCTAGGAATGGATAAACTTTCGAAGAACTTGAATGAGGTTTTTAGGGATTAAATCCAAGAGAGTAGCAGAAGAAAGAAAGTTTGAGGAAGAGGATGTATGATTATCATTCATGTCTGGAATTACAATGTGTATCTCACCTATTTATGAGTAGTTTATAAGAATGAAATAACAGAACCAACAGAATCAGTTAGGATTACAAGCTTATCCGTAGCTAATTCTTAACAGACTTCCAGCTCATCTCTTTGGTATCGTTTTGACTTGACTGTATTGATTTAAGTTTGAGTCTTATTTTTCAGTGTATGTTGGATTGTAATTCTGGTTCTGGTCTAGCTTGATAATGTCTGAATTTCGGTTAAAAACTAGCTGATGTGTTGTTTTTGGATCAATTATTGGACCCCCATTTTGTTTGTGATTCTGTGATACTCGTTTTTTTCCGGTCTGGTTTTGGACCGGTGTACATTCCTACATGTAAGTCGTGAATTGGTAGTCAGACATTGCATCAAGTGAATCACTATGGTGTTCGCGTGATAGACTGCAGCCTCGAACACTACCATAAGTTTGCGAGCTCGAATAGGTGGACATAAAAAAAAAAATTCAAGCAAACTCCAAACTATCAATATCAACAGATTTTCGTGCACCAACCATTGTTTTAAGTGTGAAATATATAAGGAAGAGTGCGTATTAATATAAAATTATAAATATATAAGGAGAGTATGAGAATTATAAACATATAAAGAGAGTATGAGAATAATATTATTAATATATGCCAAAGACCTTGTAGTTGAGTGGCATAGCGGTGGCTCTCCTGAATGAGAGGCTATAGGTTCAAATCCCAATGGAGACATTAACCCTATGTACTTCAAGATGTTTAGAGAATTTAATATCTATGGACAAATATTACTTTGTAATAGAGTTAAAAGTACTAAAAAAATTAATATATGAGAGTAGAGAATAGTGAGAGACGTGAGTGGATATATCTATATATACATAAAGATATTAATGACCAAAGTGTTGCACTGTAAATATTAGTAAGTGTTTAAACAGAATCTAAAAGTTAAATATTTAAAGTATGATAGTTAAACTAAGTTATATGTACTCTGGAAAATATATTTTTCCGATTTTAAAACTTTTTTATTTTAATTATTTAAATGGTTGTTTGAGATTACAATTATTGTAAAAACATTCCGGGGGCATTGCCTCAGCAGTTACCAAACAGCTATTAGACCATTTGGTGTGGATCACGCCATCACGCCCATCATTCCATCCCAGTGCCACATCACTTTTTTTCTTTCCCATCACAACCCATCACACCACAGGGGTGTGATTCATGCCCATCACGCCTAATTTTTTTCACTTTTTCTCATTTATTAAAATCAAAATTACTTAAAATAAAAACATTGTAAAATCAAAATGACTTAAAGTAAAAACATTGTAAGAATCTTTCATTAACATTAAAATTAAAAATACATTGACATAATGCAAAAAAAAGAAAAAAGAAAAAAGAGCTATAAATGATGGAAAAATACAAGTACTTGATTTAAAAAATACCCCCGTCCTTTTTTTCTTTCTTTGATGTTCTTCATTACACCTATTTTTATTAAAATTACTTAAACTAAAAAAATATGTACTTTATTGTTATTATTTTTAAAAGTACCTAAATTTTTATTTTTAAAAACCATTCAAAAAAATAAATTTCATTTAATGAACCAAAAAAACTAAAATTCAAAACAAATAAAAAGTAAAAAATTAAAATTGAAAAGTAGAACAAAATTAAAGAGAAAGAAAGAAGCAAACCACAAAGGAAGGAAGAATAAAGCAAAGCAAGAAAGAAAAAAAGGAAGAAGAAATTGGTCGTGGTGGATGTGATGGCCATCACGCGCATCATGATCACACCAAAGGGTGAGGTTTTCCACGGCTATCACGGGCTGAGGTGGCGCCAGGTGACATTACGGCCCACCATCACGCCACCCAAACCGTTCCGTCTTATAGCGGTCGGTTGGGAAATGGTTACAGCCCCCAATTAACGGACATTTGACCAAAAAGAAAAAAATAGAGTAGTATTAATAGAAGAACCGGACCGCCGATTCCGGTCCTCTGTTTTGAAGGCCCGGAACTGCCCCCTTCCCGGGCGATCCGATCTGGTCCGGTTCCATTACTCCATTTCCGGTTCCAAAACCTAGATTCTAGTTCCAAACCTGTACCATGTCTTTGTATTTTCTGCTCTCTCATATTCTGCATCGCACCTGCCCAAGATCACTGTCAGATAACTAAATCGCCTATATCGATTACTTTTTCTCTTTTAGGGTTTAGGGATTCGTGGCAAAGAAAAGGATGTCCAGTACTGCTTGTTTTATGATCGTGAGTAGGAATGACATTCCCATCTATGAAGCTGAAGTTGGAGCTGCACAGGTACGAATTCTTTCCCCTATGCAGAATTAACGGTTTCATTGGATTGTTATATGCTTGTTCATCGGTTCTTTTATTCGAAATGTCCTAGGAATTGTTTATTTTTTCAAAACATTTCTAATTCCTTTGCTATTAGCCTGTAATGTGGTTGATTGGTGATGGATCAAATTGGCTATATAATCGGACAGAATCTGTAAAATGTCAAAGTAAGGATATCCCTTCTCTATCGGTTAAAAGGATAAAGAATGAAACTTTATGCTCTGTGTTTAGATCACAATTGATATTCAATTTGGTCTAAGTTTCAGAACAGTGTAAAGGATTCAATTATTGATGGAACAATAATAGAATTTGCCTCTTTGGCTTCTATCCCCCTATATGAGACTACTGGTTTCGGTTTATTCGCTACTGTATGTGTTTGGCCATCTTTCCCAGTAAGAAGAATCCATTTCTGTTGTGGAAATGCATCCAGAGCAAGTACTTTGTTAACTTTTGTGCTTCTGAATTTCATGGCAGAAAGAGGATGCTGCTCATCAGCACCAGTTCATTCTACATGCAGCACTAGACATTGTTCAGGATATGGCATGGACTACCACCGCAATGTGAGATTCCAATCCGTGAACCTCTCTCTGTGTGTGGTATATGTGTGTTGGGGTGTCATGTGTTCTTTTCTACCCTTACCTGAAATCACTCTTCCTTTCCATCTTTTTTTTTAATCAGGTTCATGAAGTCAATCGACCGGTTCAATGATTTGGCTGTTTCAGTGTATGTCACTGCAGGTCATATCCTCAATATTGTCCAATTTCATGCAAGACCGTAATTCACTATTGAACTTGTGTACAGGACAACATAAGCCATGGGGTGTTTTATTGCAAAGTTTACTACTTTACTATCAACGCCAGTAAAAAATTTTGCCTGAATTTTATAGCTCGCATCCCATAAAGCTCACTAATTAGTACTCATTATTCTTTTTGCTCATAAACCAACCTTCTCTTTTTGGCTTATTTCCTTTTATCCAAATTATGATGATATCTACAAACTCTAAATAGTTCTTTATTGAATAAATAGCTTTGGAGTTATTTGCTCTTGGTGCTCAATGGCCACATATACTCAAAATATGGCTTTATTTTATTATTGGACACATCTTTCTGTTTGTTGCTAGCACCTTAATTTATATCTCAAAACTTGTTGCATTGTTTTCTTTGACTAATTGACCATACATACTCGACTGATGCTGCTTCACGATTCTCGCAATGATGATGGGATCAAAAGCTTCTTCCAAGAAGTTCATGAGCTTTATATAAAGGTTTGTTCTTTCTGCTTATCAAGATGGCTTCTCTTTATAAATTGAATTGTGTTGGCAATTTTACATTGATAGCACATTTCTACAGTAGTTACAAGGATCTATTCTGGCTCAACACTGCAAAGATTTTACTTCCCATTTATGACTTCTATGATAGATGAATCCAGCAATAAGTTGACAAGACTTTATTTTTTTTATTTGCAGTCTCTTCTTAATCCCCTATATTTACCTGGATCTCGGATTACTTCGTCTCATTTTGATACAAAGGTCAGAGCTCTTGCTAGAAAGTATCTCTGAAGCTTATAATTGGCCGGAGCCACCAGTGCCCTGAAATTATGCTTGAAAAAATCTCTGAAGATTTTTACAGTAGCATTTGCATAACACATTTATCTTAGTAACGTGAGAATTTGCTCTTGAAGGTCTTTTTGTGGCCAACAGTCATCTATCAATTGTTTTCATCTTCATAAAACTTCAGAATTTATTTTGCCCTCTGAACGTGTCGCCTATATTACTACGATCAATATGCAATTGATGAAACTATAATTCTCAGAGTCATACTATAATTCAAACTCATGCCTTTCATCGACAAGATTTTTTTGAGGGAAAAAGTTTCCAGAAACAGTTTTTTCCGGTTATCATATAGAGAAGAATTGAAATTCCGTGCAAAAGATTGCAAAAGTGACATTGTTTCTTTGCTCTCCCTTTGTCCCAATTCGTATTTCGCCAGCCCTTTGTTTAGGTGGGGGTTTTAAGCAAATATTACCATAAAAGCAAAAAAAAAATATGAGTTCTTATTTATTTTCTCCGTGAGAGGTTTGAAACGATTTATGGGGAAAAATGATTTATGATTAGCATATGGGAAGTTACACTGACGGTTCTCCACTGATATGTTATCCCATGTTGAGACTTGAAGAGTTGTGTATCGGGGCGTGCCTTTGCAAACACAATATGATATGTAGATCGTGTTTATAGTTTACCCAAAGAAATGAGCACAAGTAGAAATATATGATTTTTAAATGCAGAAACCATATCTCTTTTTCACCCAAGAAAAGAAAATTTTCTACTATTTCTCTCCCTCAGATTTCCCCTTTGTCACCAAACATTAAGCTGTGGAAAAGAGCAGTGGGTCACTCCAGATTATAGGTATTGACAAAATGCAGTTTTCCCCCATCATATCCAAAAAAATTACATTTCAATAAAAGGAAATGGATCTAGAGGAAAAAAAGAGAGCAATTACGCATTACTTATGATACAGTTCACATTAAAAGATCCTAATCTTTGATAATTACGATTAGGACCCTTTTCTGCCCTCCCGGCTTGGGTTGTTGTTTAGATCAGCAGGAGGAGGATACAAGTCCTTGTGGCGTGACGAAGGACTGCCCCTGCAAGGAGAAACTGAAGGCTCTGACCTCTTACTCTCTGACTCCAACGCTTTGGCTTCATTAGCTAGCATCTTTAGCTGTCTCGAGATGAAACAGATTAAGTATTTTCATCAGCCACTTGAGATAAATGACCCCCCTAACAGTATTTCCTCAGGACAAAAATCATTCTTGGGATACACTCAAAAGGCATATTAAATCACCCAAAATAAGGGATATTCGCTTTAAATGTTTTGGGCGTGGAAGGGGGTTAAATTCTGGAAAAGGGTTATTGAGCAAGGGAAAATGATTCATACCTGAATTTCATTCTCTCTCAAGCGGTCCTGGAGAGCACTGATGGCAGGGCTTAAGCTGTTTCAAATTAAAAGCAATAAGTCACTGAATATCTTGAAGAAAAATGAAGAAACTTTAATGGAGGTATTGCGAGAAGAAGATTCGCAGGATTCGGATTCTCCATTACTTCAATATGTACAGAAAGAGCGTCTGATATATAAATTTAAAAAAAAAAAATTAAGGCAATAAACTAAACGACCCTATTAGGAAACTTGCCAAACTGGAAGCCTACCCTACCAAAATTATATGCAATAATGTACATGAACATATTTCACAGTAACAATAACTCACAGCACAAAGCACCAAGCCAGAAGAGTAAAAAGACGTTTACCAATATTCCATCAATTTGCACATGGAAGCCTGATACGTGGAAGTATGATGAATGAAAGTTAGAGGATGCACTTTCCCACTCCTGAACAAGATTTATCACAACAATGAGAAGAATTGAAACTTGAAAGCGCTTGGTAGCATCTAGCAAAGTTATTAACACAAAAAAACGGTGCTAGATGTGACACCTCATGTTCTGTGCAACTGCTTGATTATATGCAGTCTGTTCCTCTTCATATAGTACACGTTGCAGATCGGTAAATGAACTCAAAGGTGCATCAAGATTTAGAAGCGATGAGGATGGCATGACAAGAAGAGGAATTTCCTTCCTGACAAACTCTGCACCACTGCCAAGCAACAAAGAGAGAATGTTCTAAAATTAACATATGAATCCTACAGTGTTATTGAGTGAGAGTTTCAGATTTGGTAATATCTAACAAGGTGAAAAGGCAAGCAGATGAATGTTCAAAAGAACATTTGATATTATAAGAATAATAATAATAATAATAATAATAATAATTATTATTATTATTATTATTATTATATTAATAATATGGAGTACATATTTATGAAACCATATTTATTGTGACAAACTGTTCATACTTCAGAAAAGACATAAAAGTGCCAGAACTGTTTATGATTTACTTAGAAACATAAACGATGCTCTTAGCTAGTATATTCCACTTAATGAGAAGGAACCACATCCCTACCCCCTTCCCCGGGACACAAAGAATGATTGAGATATCAAATGCTCATTATTTGAATATGGCATAACATCAAGGTGCAGGTTCCAGTAAGTAAAAAGAAGATACAGAACAATGAAGTAATACTCTTAATGTACCTCATCTCCATATTTGACAAGTGCATTGCTTCTTGCATACTTTCTGACATATCCATGTGATCTATCCCAACAGTTGCACTACTGGATTGGTTAGTATGCAAGTTTTCTCCTGTCTTGGCGTCAACATTAGCAAAGAAACCCCCCAAGTCTGAGGTTCTTACCAAGGCCTATTAAAGTAGATGTGGACAGAAGACATAAATTGGATGAAAGGAATATATTATCTTAAGATCACCAAACACGTGAGTATTACATTCAAAAGGAATCACAAAAGTGAAAGCAAAAATAATATTAAGTCAGGAACAGCATAAAATGTATGGAAACTCAGAAGGAAGCAATGGAATCATTTTCCCTTTTCTGTGAATAAATACAGAAACCTATTTTGTAGGAGGGAACTGAGATGCATTTCCGAAAATTCAGTCCTTTTCATATGAGAACAAAAAATGTTTCCCATTTTTTAGATGAGATACAAATTTTAAGTTTATATGTACATACCCTTATACAGTTATTTACAGGTTTCCCTGGAGTTGGTGTCGTGCATGTTTCGAAAAATGCTACCCCGGACTATTTCTTAGTGAGTTAGTGACTCATCATGTTACCTGTTTCTAATGTCCATGCTGCAGAGACTATCTAAGGCAGTAGTCTCAATAAAAATCCACCATTTTGCACAAAAGAGTCCCATTTTGAAACTTTCTGATCCAAAAATGTCATATTTCAACAAATTTAGCTTGTTTTTCATCTGATTTCCCAAAACCAGTCATACAAATTAAATATGAATATGATAAATATAGCTAAACAAACAAACTGAAAGACATATATTTCATTGATACCAATAACAGTTGTACCACACAAAAATTGAAAAGGGGTACATTTGTCAAACAACACTATGTTTTCTAGTACTCCTTTCGTTTTGCTATTTTGTAACATGACTTTAAAAATTAAGAAAAAGTAAGAATGAACAAGAACCAGACAAAGGCAACAAAATTTTTTAAAATACGGGGTATGTGATTCCCTTGCTTGCCTACACGTTTTAGAGTAAAGAAAATGAGTGGTCAGAAGACAAACAACCACAAAGACAAACCCATTAAAATTCCATAAAAATGGGGCCTGGGGAGGGTGTGTGTATGCATACTTTACCCTACTCGGAAGTAGAGAAGCTGTTTCCAAGAGACTCAGCTCAAATAGACACAAATAAAGACATAAAACACAGTAACTTATGAAGAGTAAGTCATTTCACATCATAAAACTTTACAATATATGAATATTTATCGTTAAAACATGATCAAGTTTTACTGCAAAAACTAATAACTGTTAATGTAAATTAACAAAGAGAATTTAAACTTTATTTTTGTCAAAACCACATATTAAAGATCTACTCCCTAAATGGTAAATTCAATTTATTTCAGTACAATACTTTTTCTTAAAAAATACCTTGTCCCAAGATTATGATATGTGTTTAATTTGGCACACTTCTTAGTGAACTGTGAAAGAGAAGTTTATTTTGGCTATAATTTATTTAGTAGAGAGAGAGAGAGAGAGAGAGAGAGAAAAGGTGAACCACATGATCATAATTCATGAAAAGGGTTGATGAAAACAAATACGAAACATTGGAAAACAAGAACAAAATTAAGGATTTTTTTCATTTTTACTTCTCTGGTCAAAGTAATCTTTTACTAAAAGTTTTAGTTTACATATTTTAGTGAATGTTTCAAACATTATTCTTTTACAAAACAGTTATTAAGAAAAAATATATACTGGCATTAGTTTTAAGGCAATGATCTTTTGACATCCGCCCTCGGTGTCATGACACTAAGCCATTTGGGAGTCCTACAATAATAGGGTGTCTTTTGACATCGGACAGACATTGGTGAATTTAAAAATAATAATGAACCCAAGCCTCTAACAGGTTACAAACCAAATCCAAATCCTGAGGCTAAGTTTACTTTACCCACTTCCAAAACACCCACCAAATGACCAAATAAATGACAAAAAAAGAGAGATAAAATTTCCCTTTTGGTTTTTGGAAGAAATTAAAAAAGAGAGTTGAGAAGAAAAGAATTGAAGAAGCCCATTCCACAAGAATGACTATAAAATGTTAACACTTCATCAGGGAGAGGATAAAACATCAAAAGAGCTACTTAATACTCACAGGATATTGCAAATTTGCAATTGAACATAACCTATAAAGAGACAAACAAAGTTACCTTAGAAGTTGAAATAATTGCTTTTGAATCACCAGTGTCTTGCTCAAGACTATCTCCTCTAGTGGAAGCTCTTGCTGATGTCTCTGAGGAACTTGGAGATGATTCAATATCTATTATGGAATTTTTATGTACAGGGGAAAGAGGAACTGGTTTCAAAGCATGGCTTTGTTTTCCATCCAAGGACTGAAATGCAATAACCTGAATTCTTCCAACCTAAAAAGAAATTTAAATACAAAATTTAAATTACTTTGCCATAATTGATATTTTCAACTTCTTTCTATATGCCATAGATACAAACCTTGTGTGCATCTTCACTAAAACACGAAAATATCAATCCAATAAATCCAGAATCCAGAAGTTGATACATTGCTTGGGTGCGGACATCTTTGTATTTGTGACAAAGAAGAAAGGGTAAGGAGATTAATATGTATATATTGACTTGTTTTTCAGAGGATAAAAATTAAAAATTAAAAAGGACAATGTACTCCAAATGGCAGAATCCAGCCTATAAAAATGTTCACCTAGAGAGAAAAATTCCAAATTTTGAAGCACTACCAACATAAATAATTTACACCTGCCAAACATCCCAATCACATATATTCTTATGGCCATGCCTAGATGGTACTCGTGGAGGGAGTGGAAGTTGACACAGACTTTTAGACATTTCCATTGCTAAAAAGACAATGCTGAGGAGTAGAGCATAATTCATTTTTCTGAAAGTGGGTCCTTAAGACTAGGATATATGGAAAGTAGAAAGCTGTGAACATCACACAAGAGTGTCCCATATGTCAAGAATATAAAGCAAAAAATGATGTCTGATGTGTTACTTAAAAACTTACCAACGTGTGAAGGAAGGACTGTAATATGAGGATGTGAGTGGTACCAGCCAATCACTCTTGTTGTTCTGCCTGTTGCCACAGTCATTCTGTGCTATAGAGTTAATTAAACGAAAGGGCAAAACAATTGATAATATTAAATCACAAAATGCATATTCATCATGTGAACGACATCACATAAATAGTTAATGTGGAGCCATACATTTACCTTTTCTCTTTAGTTTGTGAAACATACCCCAGAGTAAAAAGGTTATCATGTTCCATTATGTGCATGTTGATTTTTTTTACTACTAATTTTGCAATGACATATGACTTGAGCAACATTGAGAGTTTCCTTGTACGTGAAATTTATGATGCTGACAGTCTGAAATTAATTTCATTACGATTTGTTTAGAAGATTGCAACATAAAAAACCATCTGACATAAAACCATGCCACAACATTTTTTCATGAATTTATTGTGTTCCTAAAGTTAGAAAATCAATTCAGACTATAAATTTCATGTCAACAGCCCCATTGTAATTGTGATTAACAACTCACAGTGAGGGATGTGTCCCAATAATGACACAACTCTACAACAATAAACTCATTAACATTGATAGAGGGGGAAAGATGGGGGAGCTCGGGAAAATTTCAGACACTTGTGCATACAATAGGAAGGATATTTCAGCTTGAACAGATGCAGCAGTCAACTGCTCGGGGTTAGTCTCTACCCGGTCCTTCCGGCGATCAGAACGTGGTTGTGGCAATGCTCCCCAAACAAGTGCTGTTACACTACCATTTTTTGATTGCTAGCAAAGCAACAATAATAATGTTACTCGCATGCATAATAAACATTAAAACATATAATGCTTCAGTTGTAAATTAAGTAATATGGAGGGTGACATATGAGTGGGGGTAACAATAAAATGGAAACTTGAGGGCCATTTACTAACTGGAAAACTTTTATGTATATGGAAAACTGGAAAACATAGAATAAAAATATGTTTGAACTTTTCTCATTCCTGAATTCAGAAAAAACATTACTTCACCAGTTTTTCAACTATAGAAAACAGAACATATTATTGCAAGCATGTCAGTTTTTTGGTTAACAGGCTGAATTATTTGGCCCTGAAAAGTCCCAAGTTAGCAAGTCATAAGCACATAAGGTGGGAGGTGAATAACATGAACAAATGTTTAATTACGGAGTACAATATACTGGTGGCATCCTTTTGAAGTATATCATTAATATGTAAAGGTCAAGTAAGTAAAGGCTGAAGTTTAACTGTCATTTTGATTTAGTCCAATATTTACTCAAAGCTAAACCATTGTCAAAACTTCAAGCACTTCTCAATCTCATTCTCATCCATTTATTGCGGTCTGCATATTAAAAGGTGGATGTTAACAAAACCACAATCCTGTATATGACTATCACTTTGTCAGCTGTCATTGTGATTCACGATACATAAAAATATTCCTCACCCCCTCCAGCTGCAAGGGTTTGAACCCTAACTAATTTTCTTTAAAATGAGTGCGCGGTAAAATAAGAAACAACTTATCAACTCTTTCAACCTCACTCAAAAAATGGAGCAAGATTACACTCCCTTGTTATTCCTCTCCCTTCACAAATGGGTATCACTAGGCGTTTAAAAACATTCAAGCAATTTCAGGTCACTACGAATTACAGCTTTGAACATTAAGCACAGAAACACTTGCTCGGGGAAAACATAGGGCTTCCCCTACTAAACCCCTCAAAAAACCAACAGTTTCAAAATGGGGCAAAAATGGCGAACCTGTATGTCTCCGAGAAGTAGGCCCATGATTTCTTCCGTCTCTGTAGACAATGCATGAGTCAGGCAAGTTAGCCATACTTCCTCCGTCATCTTCACACTCGTCAGAGACATCCTTCTCTCGCTTTCTCTCCCTCTATATATCAAATGTTAGTATATGCTAAGGCCGGTGCGAAAGGATTGTGGTTTTCTGCAATTCGGAAAAGGCTTCCACGACGGAGGAGGGATTGAGGGAAGAAGCCGCCGGATCGGGGAATCGGGAGCTCCGGAATGGATCCGGGAAACCTATATATTCTGCTGCGGTCGATTCTTGTTTTTTAACGATACGGCCCGTCCTCCGGTCCGTCGGAGTTGAGCGGGCCGTCAAGATTTGGAAATCGCAAATTATGCGCAGAACCATTAGATTAGATTAGAGAGGGTCACTAAACTTTTGTTTGGCTTGAAAGAAAATGGGGAGAAAGGACAAGAAAAAAATGACTTATTTTGTTTGGATGAGATAAGAAAATGATACTGTAACTCTATAAGAAAGAAATGATGAGAAAATAGCCAAATGAGTGAAAACAATTGTTGTTTGAATAATTAGAAAATGGTGAGAAAAGAGAAAACAAAGATAGGATACATTTTTTCAACAAAAGAAGAAATAAAAGATGCATGCATTTGGAAAAGAAGTGGGGAAGCATAGAAATGAGGTAGGGGAAAGGCAACTTCCTCATTTTGTTTCTTTTCTCAAGTGAGAATTTTTTTAGTTTTTAAAATTCTTTTTCTCTCTCCTCTATTTTCTCTTGCAATCAAACAAAAGAAAATATCTAAAAATTTCTGTTGTCTCACTCCTCTTTTTTTTCTCTCTATTTTCTTCAAGCAGAAAGGCATTACACCTTTTTGCACCCTCTTATTGAGCAACTAAGTTAAGTGCTCCATCTACAGTTTTTTTTCTTGATTGGTCTAATTACATCTCGAAATTAAATTCAATTTTTCATAACCATCTCAAAGTATGATTTTTTTTGCACCTCCTTATTTTTTTAAGAAAATTAATATGTGACTTTACGTACTATATTTCTTTTTTCTAAATAAATTTAATTCCAAGTAATTAATTTAATTTTTTACCTTTTCCCTTAAAAGCTTATTTTCTTCAAATTATTCTTTTTCTTATTGAAATCAGATCAGATCAGAAATATGTTTAAATATAATTAGAAATAGATCGGATCAAAACTTAATCGAATCATGTTATGACCAATCAGATAAGTTGAACAGGATAAAGCCTAAATTGTTAAATTCAAACTATGTACCCCGTATTTGTTTTCGTGATAATGGGAATAAAAATGGGTCTGGTTCAATGGCCACTCTATTTGGATGGTCATGGAAGACACTGGACATCTGCGGTGCTCCGTTTGCAAAGTCAATTAAACTTGCACCCCACAATTGATGTGGGTAGGGGGAGAGGGTTAAGAGGGAGGAGGTTAAGGAGGGGTCGGAACTATCAATTTTGCGAATGGCTAACCTAATTCCAAATGGGACCACATAAATAGAAAAATCTGAAAATTTATTAGAGTGTACGAGGAATATCCAAGGTCTAGAAGAAACGGGACGAACGATGCTCATATTCTTCCCAGGCAGGGGATTGCTTGGCATCAAGAAGGCGGACACCAAGACAAAGTTCCACTTGATTTATGGAAATTTTTAAGCTGTTCCCCAAAAAGCCAACAACTCTGAGCCTGAATCGTCAAAGAAAAGATCATGCACCGAGATTGACATGGACGATATTGTACGGCTCATCGGAACAAAGATCTAGGCCTCACATGAACCTAGATGACGAGGATGTCATTCCACGCTCGATCGAAAGAAAGAAAGCAAAATCAATTGCGTCGGATTCTAGGTCCGATTTTGTTTTCTCTCACGATGATACTAGGTGACAAATGGTTGAATAAATGCAGTTGTTTAATCTTTGGGAAGATGAGATGGAGAAACCGAGAATAAAGGAAGAGATAGAAAATATTGATCACCGACCTTAATATGTTAACGAGATGCAAAAAAAATATTTTACGGGAAAAAACAAAACGAGACCAAGGCTAAATATGGTTGGGAGAATGGTTTTTTAATTAATCTAATTCTTTGTGTAATATAAATTTTCTATTTAATTAATTAATTAATTAAATCTTATTAATATAATTTTTAAAAATGTATATTTAAGTAAGTAAATGTTTGAAGACCCAATTTGAAATCTAAGTATTTCCAATGAAAATAGGGCGTAACATAGACATGGCAGATAGAGAAATTTGAAAAAACTCAATATTTCCAATGCGTTAACAGTCTTAAGACCCTAAGAGAGTTTCTGAAAAGCAAAATAAATCCCATTTGTCTAATAAAAGAGTTTGTTCTCAGCTTGCCCTGTCCTAATACACAAGTCATCTCTTCACACAAAAAAAAAAAAAGAAAAAAAAAACCGTAGATATATTTTATACAATGTCTGGAAGTTGCATGTTAATAAAATTTAAAAGTTGTACACTCATCAAAGTGGACTATCTTTGCGGGACCTCCAACATAAGGTGTCAAATTTAATCACCATCATAAACTCATCATCAATGTGAACTTGATCTACTGCCGGTACGCCTTGCAGAATGCCACCACCATTGTGTGATCATTTGATCTTCTTGACAGAGCTTCAATTGGTTGGCCATTCGTCATACAGAAAAGAAAAGGGGAACTCGCGTTCCAAAACCTCATAATCAATCGATTCATCCCCAGCCTCCCAGGATGCACTTTCAAAAAATTCGAAAAGATCGGTGTAGGGTAAAGGAGACCCAGATAAAGAAAAGTCATTTTCACTGGAATCGTCCCCAAAAAGTGATTGATATGCACTAAGAGTGTCTTCAATGTTAGTTTGGTGCTGCAACCTAGTCCACTCGGACTCACGCCTAGGGTTTGTCTCAGATGGATGCCGAGTGGGATGCTCTTCTCTGGCGTGCTTTCTTAGCTCGAAATACGTACCAACGAAATCACATGTCTCCAACGAACAAGTCCTTGGGAGAGAATTCATAAACTGCCTAGCACCCTCTATGGCAACACATCCTCTGATTTGACCACGGCAAAGAGGGCAAGCAAGTGCTTGGTTGCCTAGAGGCCTTATATGAGTCGCAGCATGTACTGCTTGGTCCATTCTACCTCCACCAGAGGATGTTGCCCCAGGAGCTGATTCTGGAGCAGCAAACGACTTGAGGAATTGGTCGAGGCAATTTGAGTGGCGGTAACTCGTGTCGCACATGAATGGCCTACAACCTTTTTCTGTAGAGGTACAGAGCAATAGGACAGCATTGTGAGGGTGCTCCATACATATTGGGCACCTAGCTTCCTCCCACTCTCTTTCGTCCCCTACAGTTAGGGAAGGCTTTTCAGACTTGAGCCCAGTAACCCTTAAGCTGCATGGGCGATAAGGAGATGCCCTAGCCCGGTTGGTTGGAAATGATCTCGCCCTCTCTTTTGGCATTTTGCAACACCTGAAAGAGTTATGGGTTGCTTTATACTTGATGCAGAACTAACATTCAAAGCAAATGATTTTTTACTATAGCAAATCGCAGCACTAATACAATAAAGCTAGTTAAGCATCAGAGTTTATATTGTCAGGTTGTATCTTCACGGTGCAATCCTTGCCGTGGATAATGATAAAAGATTACAGTAACAGTGAACTTACGAATTTGAAATTAGCTCCCTACAATTCTCTCCCTACAATCATTTTTAGGTCATTCTCTAAGACATTTCTGAAACTAAAAATAAAATGGTGGTATGCTTCTAGGGGAACAGCTCAACTAAATTCAAACTTGGGTAGGTCAGATAATATTTCACTCAAATAAATGTTTACAGAAATAAACTGTCACACAACAAAAAACCCAGTATAATCCTATCTCAATTGGGATTCGGAGCAGTAGAGTCATGTCTTTCAAAAAAAGTGGGAACACAGTCCCAAAACAGCTTATAAAGGTTCAAAATCAATACCCCGGTATATTCTTCACATTCTTTCATTGAATAGAGTTTCATATTCAAGCTCCTAATAGTTAATTTGATGACGGAGAATAATTTAAACTCAAATTCAAACAATTCCCATTAAGATTAAGGGGCTGTTTGGCAACTTCTGAATCGGTAAGTGCTGAACCAATAAGAGGTCTGAACCATTAAGTGCTGAACCAGTAAGAGGTCTGAACCATTAAGAGCTAGTATATTGCTTAACTATTCAGAGGCAAATGTCTGATCAATTCAGATAAGAGGTCTTAACCATTCAGACTCTGTATAATACTTAACCATTCAGAGGCAAATCTCTTAACCATTCAGACATCTGAACCATTAATAGGCTGAAACAAACAGTCTGAACCATTAAGTGCTGAACCATTCAGACATCTGAACTATTAAGAGGCTGAAACAAACAGCCCCTAACTGTTTTTAAATCTTGATTGCTTGTAAAGTAATTTGCATCCTGAATTAAAAACCAATCAATTTTACAAATTAATTTAATATTTAGTTAAAAAATCCAATTAATAAAATACAACAATAATAACAACAACAACCTAATTGGATCCCACAAAAATAAGGTCCCGGAGGGTGCGTGTACGCACACGTTGCCCCTACTCAAAAGTAGGGAGGCTGTCTCCTAGAGACTCCTCGCTCAAGTAACACACTAACAATATAAGAGCACAGAAATCACGAAACAAACAAAGCATACACGGCACGCAAAACACACAACAAAGCATACAGCGTACACAACAATAAGTGTTGTCACCTAGTCCGAAGCGTCTATCCAACTACCCTAGTTTTAGCTTTCCAAACACTCATATCTAAGGTCATATTAGCACAAAGGGAAAGAAGTTCTAAAACCTGTCGAATCACCTCCTCCAAGTACTTTTTAGGTCTAATCCTACCCCTATCCCACCCTCCAACGTAATCCCCTTGAATCTCCGCACAGGGGCTTCAGCACTTCTCCGACTCACATGCCGAAACCACCTTAGTACAAAATAAAATAATCAATTAATCATTAAATAAATATAATAAATAGTAATTCAATCTTCACCTGAAAAACAATCTAACAATTAATTCACTAATCAAAAATTTAGAATTCTATAATACAATTACTCAAATAATATAAGCCAATAGTATACTCCTGTAGATTTAAGTTTTAATGTCTTTTAAATTTATAAGTGCATTTAACTAACCCTCTTTATTAATTACTCCCTTCATCCCTAAAATATTAGCACTTTGTGCAAAGCGAAGCAAAATCCCAAGCTTTTTCAATTCATTTTATTTAAAGAATGATAGAAGAATAAAAAAAATTAAATGTGCATGTTTAAAAAATACATCAAAAATTCCACAAAATAAGAGGTGTAAAGAATATTAGAAGTATATTTTATCTAATAATCAATGAAAATGTACAAACAAAAAACTTACCGTGAATTTAGAATAACGCCTAATGATCAATAGAGGGAGTACATTACTAAAAACCTACACGTTCACAGTGAAAAATAACCTAATGGTCACAAGGAAATCCATAACAAACCTAACGCTCACAAAAACAAAGTTCACAAATGCACAAATCACAAATTCACATATTACAAAATCATAATTGATACTTGCCTAAAATAATTAGATAAATACGGATCATTAAACAAATCCAATGAAGATTATTAACATGGAGATGGAAAATTCAAAGGTTTACATTGATAAAATAGCGGAGAGCAGAGGCCAGAGAGGCGTCTATTTACCTTGAGAGGCTCACGGCGGCGTACGGCGTAGTTAGGCGTTCATCTCTTTCTATCTGACCATCCGCTCCGCTGCGTGAGATGTCTGGCGTCTGCGACTATTAGCTGGAAAACTGGAGTAAATTCCATAAAATATCCTTCTAATTTTCGTTTTACATAGAGTATTCGCCCAGTTTTGACTTTTGGAACTGTTCATCTAAACACTTTGACTCATCAAATTCTCTCAATCTGTAACCCAAAATATAGTCATGTGTGATCTTGTTTGATTTGTCTTAACATATAGATTATTAATATATAATTTCTATAATTTTTTAATATACAAATTACAAGATAAAATAGATTAAAAAAGTGTATTGAATGATGTGTAAAAATGAAAGTGGACAAATACTCTGGAACGGAGGTAGTATTTGGTTTCTGCCTATCAAATATCAATAATTTAGTCCCAAATTACTATATTGTTTTTCACGAATGGTCTTTTGTAAACATTTTTATTAAAAAAATATGGATCAAATTATAAATTCACGCTCCCAGTTCAAAATTATGGAATTTTTTATTTATTTGTACATTTTGATTTATCGTTTAGCAAAACTAAATATTTTTATCCGTTCTTATTTTGTAGAATTTTTTATGTAATTTTAAAATATATATTTTATATTTAATTTATATACAAATCTTTAAATAAACTAAATTTTAAAAAACTTGAAAATATAATTTGTTTTGCGTAAAATATAAAATATTTTGGAACGGAGAAAGTAAATTATAACTTTAAAACTAAAGTGCTATCTTATTTAGTTTATATTTATCAAATATTATGTTTGCAGTCTTTATTGATAGGATATAATTCCTTGTTTAATGCTCCATCTATTATTACATCTCAATATTGTTAGATAAAAACTTACCGTGGAATAGTACCTAATCAATAAGAACTACGAACATAATATTTGAATTTATTTTTTTAAAGAACTTATTTTTTATCATAGTTATAAAGGATTATTTAAAAATTTATTCTTTTTTAAATAACTTTTAATATAGAAATTAATAAATACTAAAAGTGTACAATTGTTGTTTATTTAAAAAAAATCAAAATTTGTACAGAAAAAATGAAAAAAGAATTTCATTCGTTATTATGAGAATTAGTTTGGAATGAATATTTAAAAGTTAGAAGTTATTATTCCATTTTAACAACCACAATGCTTAGATAGAAAAATTGAAAAAAATACGTAGTACATAGAGTATTATGTTATGTAGCACACATTTGAGCGTTAGACAATAGGTTTACACAAGAAATTAAAAGGAAATTAGAAGGTTTGCACTAGCTCCTAACATAATATTTCGTAGTACGTACTCCGTATTATTTTTTCTATCCAAACATTGTTGTTGTTAAAACGAATTATTAACTTTTAATCTTATTTTTTCTATCCAAACATTGTTGTTGTTAAAACGAATTATTAACTTTTAATCTCTTTTTAATATATATTCATTCCAAACTGATTCTTGTATTAAAAAAATGATATTCTTGGTGTACTATTTTTTATGGTATACAAAATTTGACTTTTTATAAATAGCTACAACCATACACTTTTAGCATTTAGTTTCTATATTAAAGATGATTTAGAAAAAAATAATTTTTTTAAATGGTCATTTATAATAGGGGATTTTTCATTTTTAGTCCATATTTCTTAAATATTATCTTTGTATTCCTTATTAATTGGGTGTCATTCCACGTTTAGTCTTTGTCTAACAGCATTGAGACGAAAGAATAGATTGATGACTAAACGTGGAATGGTACCAATGTATAAGGACTGCAAACATAACATTTGATAAAAATAGACTAGAAGCCTGTTCTTTAGTGCTTAAACTCTTAACTTCTGGTTTCTTCGAGTTACATGAAAAGGGAAATGAAAGTTCATTCATTTTGCGATCGCGTCAAGTTTTTAAGAGTGGTGTGTTGATGGTTATACGATGATTGAGTCTTTTAGACTGACGTACATCAGTAAGCATGAAAAAAATTATATTGCGACATGTACAATAGATACTCAGATTCTTTAGTGAATTGTGACAATGATACGTCTACCAAAGGTAAAAGAATTATTGTACATTTGTTAGCGGCGCACGTTACATGATTCAAAGCTATCAAGATGCTATGGCAATATGTTGTTAGGCTGGCTTTCTAGATCTCTTTCTAGCATTCACTTGTAATCCTAAATGGCCAGAGATTGAACGTTTTCGGGTGACAGAGATTTTAATCTAGAAGATTGTCTAGATATTGCTTCTAGAGTATTCAATATGAAACTAAATGGGTTAATACAAGATTTAAAGAATAACTAAATATTTGGAAGAATTAGAACAAGTACTTTATAACAAGCATTCAATACTTTATGTGCTAGATTCTTAACGATGCATCATTACTAATTAATGTATCCATTTCTTTATTAGATTTGTTTACACTGTCGAGTTCCAAAAATGTGGACTACCACATGTCCACATTTTATTGTTTTTGGGCCAGGAAGATAAATTCCCTACGCCTAAAGATATTGATCAAATCATATTTACGAAGTTGCCAGATGAAGTAAAAGATCTAAGATACTTAACGTTGTCAATATTTTATGACTCACGGATCGTGTGGGACCAATGCATCCAAATCACCTTGCATGAAAGATGGCAACTGCTTGAAGTATTTCCTAAAAAAATTCAATGAGGAGACCAACATTGACAAGGATGGTTGTCAAAAATATTGGAGAAGGAATAATGGCCGACCACTATTGAAGAACAGTGTTGAGTTGGATAATTGGTTCGTAGTCCCACAAAGCAAGTATCTCTTACTTAAGTACGGGGCTCACCTAAATGTTGAATGGTGTAATCAATCGCGAAAGATCAAATACTTATTCAAGTATATCAACAAAGGCCACAACCGTGTTACCATAGGATTTTATGCAAGCACGGAAATCGGAGCAAATCGAACTATAGAGAAGGTAAATGAAATTGAACTCTGTTACGATTAAAGATATATCTCTATTTGCGAGGCAACATGGCAAACATTTGGATTTGTAAAACAATATAAATGTCCAAATATTGAATGTTTAAGCTTTCACATACCTGGTGAACAATGGATTTTCTTTGAAGAAGAAGAAGATGATGATGCAAGTGATGTTAACACTCGAGAAAGCATACACGAGAGTAAATTTCTTTCTTGGATGACGGGAAATGAAAAATATCCTCTTCCAAAGACTTTAACGTATGCTGAGTTCCCACAGAAATTTGTTTAGAAGCAAGCTAAAGGAGAGTATGAACCTCAACTCAAAGGGATTGCTATAGGTTGTGTTATATACGTCCCGCCGAGGTCTCGTGAATCATATTACTAGTATTCTGACCCGTGCAATGCACGGGTGAAACAAAATTTTTGTTGATTCTAATATTTTTTTCAATGTATTGTATTTTTTAGTAAAAAGTAAATTTATTGTGCAAATAATTTTTAATACTACAGATGAAAAAAAAGCTAAAGTAAAATAAATAAAATTTTAGGAATAAAATGTGGTGATAACAATGTATATTTTAATACCAAATTTTCTGAAAGACCTCAAGGTATACAACATTTTTGGTATGATTGCAAGGGTTTTCATTATCATCTAGAACTAATATCTTTAATCCTGTCTTTGTTTTCACTCGTGAAACAGCAACATATAGTTGTCCAATGTGTGAACACCGACTTAGTTAAAAATAATCCCACAAATGACAATGTTTGACCTTGACTTTTGTTGATAGTCATAGCAAAACATAACGCGATGGGGAATTGTCTTCTTTGGAACTTCAAGGGTAGACCTGGATCAGATGGTATCAAATTCATTCTAGGGATGTAAACTTTTTCCCCAACTCGATTTCCCGAAACCACAATTGCAGTGATAACATTATTCCGCAACTCTTGAACGATTAATCTTGTCCCATTACACAATCCAGATGTTTGGTCAATGTTCCTCAATAACATAATCGGTACCCCTTTTTTCAAGACTATTCTATGGTTTGGGATTCCGGAACATTTGATTTCGTTCAAGAACTCAACTGTTATCCAATCGCCATCAACACCTACATCTGCATCTGCTTGGCACGAAGAATCAGAACTCAAGTATTCCTTTTCATCACCAGGTATGAGGGATAGGACAAATTCATTTATCTTTTCAACTACTTCGAGAGTTGGTGCCAATAGTGCTCTATCCTCAAAAAAAGAATAATTTTTCATATTCTCTAATATATCCGGATAAGTGAAGTCCACTATACTCTTAATAGGAGAACTTGTATCAAGAATTAAGAGTTCAGGCGGAATCTCAACATCAGCAACTCCGTCCATCACCTGACCTAGCTTTCCATCACCCATTTTGATTATCCAATCAAAAAAAGCTTGTGTCTCTCTATCTGAGCAAAAAGACATAGATGAATGCAGTCTCATATTCTTGGTCAACGTATAAACTTTACAGTACGACCACAAATGTGAGGAATTGACCGTAGCACCTACAATTAGCTCTCTCGAAGCTCTGGGTAAAACTGGAAGGATCTGTCGAAAGTCACCTCCGAGTATAACTGGTTTCCCTCCAAACGGTTGATTTCTGTACTTAGCATTAGAGAACCCCATGATATCTCTCATTGTGCGATCCAAAGCCTCAAAAGCAAATCTATTCATCATGCATGCTTCATCCCATATGATCAAACTTGCTTGTTGGATCAATTCAGCTTTCGGGCTCCCTTGTTTGATGGCACACGTTGAGCACTCAGTTAGCGCCAATGGGATTGAGAATCTAGAGTGTGTAGTCCTTCCACCAGGCAATAACAATGCTGCAATCCCACTGGATGCAACATTCAGAACAATCTTTCCTCTTGATCTAAGAGAAGCGAATAATGATTTCCAGAGGAAGGTCTTTCCTGTTCCCCCATAACCATACACAAAGAAGAAACCTCCCTTTTCAGTTGTCACAACTTCCATTATATCGTCTATATCTTCCTCTGGTCTTCGTTCATGGTAGATAAGCATTGTCCAAGATCAGTTGATAATTTTTCTCTATCATAGTTCAACTCCTCGACCAAGAAGTTATTTTGGAAT